CTGAGACTCAACTATTTTCTGCAATTCTCCAGCTGTGGTCCTTGGAGAGTCTTTAGCCACTCAAACTCTCCTTCTCACTGTGCATTAGGACGATATAGATACACGTCCTCTTCCAGGCAGTTTCGAAACATTTTCTGTTGATTGGAAATTCTTAATTATTGCCCTGATGGTGGAAATGGGAATTTTCACTGCTCTAGCTCTTTTCTTAAAGTCACTTTCTAATTTGTGAAGCTCAATTATCTTTTGCTGTTTCATTATGATATTTCCCCCCATTTTAAATTCTTATTATCCAATGAAAGGTTAGATTTTTGTGAATTTTTTAAATAAAAGATCAAAAGGATTAACAATGCAGATTAATTTTCACAGCCTTCTTTGATCATATTTACCAAGGGTGCCGATATTTTTGGCCATGACTGTATATATACGGAGTTGGATATAGATGAATATAGAAAGATGGCTAGAGAGAGGGGAGATGGATGGATAGACATTGATAGATAGATATGGATTTAGATGGAAAAATGGATGGATAGAGATAGTCGGAGATAGATTCAAGTCATTGGATATAGATCAATATAAATAGATGGACAGAGAGGTGATGAATAGAGATATGGATTGATAGATAGGTTTGGTGTAGATGGATATAGATGGATGTATAAATAGATATAAATAGATATAGATATGTAGATATGGATGGATATAAATAGATTATAGTTATAGACTGGTGGATATGAATGGAGAAATTGATAGATGATATGGATGGATAGTTGGTTATGTATGGAGAGATGGATATAGACCGATATAGATAGTTGGGTATATAGATGGATAGATAAGTGTAGAAATTAAACTACATTATTTGTAGCTGTAATCTCCATGACGGCTATAAATGTATGCATACACTTGAAAAACCCAAACATTAAGTGCAAATGATTAGTTAGCCTTTATGTACCCTATAGAAGAGGTGTGCAGCTCGCAGGTTTGGTGTGAGGTGGTTCTGGTCCATCAGCGCAGTGCTCGTCGCTTTATCTGTGCTTGTTTGTTGGACTGGCTTGCTGCTGGCTGAGCCCCCATTTTCTGTCTCTCTGTTTTTTGCTTCCTTCTCTGTGCTGTATGTCTGCAGGGATTTTTCACCACATGGTGCCTTCAGTCTCCTCACAGCAGTCTGGGGCCAATCTCCCAGGCCCTGGGGCCCTCAGTTCCCAGCAGAGGCATCTGGACACGAACCCCAAACCGGGGGCCTTGTTCTTGGCCTCCGGCCCCTCGCAGCACAGCCGCACACAGACAGTCCTACACGCGCCCTCCCCACCCGCCCTCGCCTTCCCTCCGCCTCCTCCCCTCCTGAACGTGTCCTCCGCTGTCCCGTCCCAACCTTCCTCCCCATGTCCCGAGCGCCACCAGTCCTCAAGGCCACAGTCGTCCCTCCCCGCTTCCACCTCCTCCCCGTCTCTGGCCACCACATCTGCTTCCGCCACCTCCTCCGCTTCCTCCCGGCCCTTCACTGTGCACTATCCCCCGCATCTGCCTCCTCCGCACCCTCCCGGCAGCGCAGGTTCAGGTGGGGCTGGGGCGTCTTGGAGGACTCTGGGTATGCAGGCGTCCTACACAGCCTCGCAGATCCCCAGCAATCGCCCCAGATAGCACATGTCCGGGCACAGGAGGGTGGGGGAAGGGGGGTTTGACATGGAAATAGACTATTACTAGACGGATAGAGGGAAGCTACTGCGCTCTGCCAGCTATGATCCCAACAAGGTATGTGGTGTTGGCATGGAAATAAGCAACACGCTTTGCTGCTTTTCTTTTTTTTTTTCGTAGCTGCATTTCCTGCAAGTTGTTTGGGTTTCAGAAACCAGCTGTTAGACTATGTATGTCAGAATTGTCATTTTTTTTGTCTTTTGAAAATATCATTACATGTTCAGGGCTCAACAATGTGATTTCTACTTTTACTAGCCCACAAAAATTATATTTTATTTTACATTGTAGTAATACACAGAATGTATTAATGTAGTTTTGTAAGTGTTTGAAAATATATATATTTTTTTTAATTAAATGTTTTTTTTGCCCTGTCGAAAAAGGAAATTTAAAATGGGTAATTTGGATATTTTACTGTTTTCAATTAAATAATAAAATGTTGTAGTAATTTTATGAATTAATTTCATAAACATTTTTGCTGGATTGTTATAATGGTTTATTGTGCAAAATTGGATTGAATTCTCTCTCTCTCTATGTGTGTGTATGTATGTATTGGTGTGTGTGTGTGTGAACTATTTTAATAATTCATTTACATTTTCTATTAAATGATTAATTTATTGATTTAATATTTTATTTTATATAATATTAATAAATTAATTATGAATTAAATAAAACCCTAAGGAAGGTCAATTGACTGAAATTTTGCTAATAGAAAATATTTGTGGTGCACATTTGAGTAGTGTGAAGGATTTATACTTTTTTTTATTTATTTACTGTAATTATAAAATATGAACCAATTAATAGTTAAATAACATATTTTATGATACATATTTTAAGCATAATGTAAAATATAAGTCAATTAATGATCAAACAACTTAATTAAACATTTAATTTATTCATATTTTTATATTTGTGTATGTACATAAAGAAATCATGTTTTGCACAATAAGTCATCATAATCATCCAGCAAAAATGGTTATAAAATAGTTTCATATGTATTATTTTTGTTATATGTAATATTATTATTATTATTATTATCATTATTACTTGTATAAAAATATAACACACATATAATTTTTAGCCTATTGTAAATGATGTTTACAAGCAAGTCCCCCTTGCAGAATGTGAAAAAACAAAGTTTTAAACATCATAGTCCAAATGTATAATTTTGTCAAGCATGTAAATTGTTGAGCCCTGATGTTGATGAAATATCTGTCCGCATCTTGTGTAATTCCTGGATTTTACCCCTGACTGGTTACAGGTAACTGAAGAAATCTACCTCAACCCAGCATAACCTATGCAATGGACAGGTGTGGACCAATGGGCTCGACTCGCTCGCCGGTGCTCAAACATTTGCTAAAGCCGCCACTGTAAAACTGATATGGGTATCAGAACTTATCACGGGTGCAGCTTAACACACACACACGGCCCCTGAATCAGATTCAGATTAACACAGTATGCAGCTTCCTTGTTTTTCAGAGTGTTTTAAGGTGGCACCATGTTGGGCTGATGCTAACAGCCATTTATCAATAATTGCGAGTTTAACATGGCCTTACAGATGGGTGGTTTACTACATTTACAGCCATCTTCTGGTTGATTCACAATCGATGCCACAGGAAGTGGTTTAAATGTCAGGAATATCATTTCAGTCAGTACGGTTTCAATAGGCCGTACACAAAAAAAATGACTTGTGAATCTCTGTAACCTTGCTGCTGTTATCAGTGGAAAGAAATGTGGCTTTTTGTGATTTACAACTCCTATTCGGATGGACTCCATGAAGCCCCTGGAGCCTGATACAATTCCCATGCCTGGACATCACCCTTACAGCCTGAGCTTGTGCTGTGAACTCACTATTTTAGTGAAATTGATGTTAACAAATAGTGTAGTAGTTACCTTGGCTTGGGAATGTTAACATCTCATCATATTAATTGTTTGCCTTTATAAGGTGAAATATGTAGGAAACCACAAGCTCCAGCTGTATAAGGGTGAATTTCCATGTGATATTTTACCTCAGCAAGAAGACTATTTGAAATTATTGCATAATATTAAAACCAAGGATTTTTTTGTAATTGTGAAAATTTTTCATGACTGTTAAGCACATTTTCCCAAAATTCTCATTACAATAATGGGAAAAAAAAGCATGAATCTGTTTTATTAATTATCATTTTTTATGATCATTATATATATATATATATATATAATATATAGCTACTCAAATATCAGCGCAAATACAATTCAGTTCAACAAATACAACTTTATAAATGCTTAGCAAATATGTCAATTATATATAATTGAGTTAAATTGCAATACTATTTTCCATTGCAGTACTAGAAATGCTTATTTGTTTATGTTTTGCAGTACATCTATAACGTTTTTTTCTTGCATTACGGTATTGGAAGTTAAAGAAGGATTGTCATGAAAATCAAGTCACTACAAAAAAAACAAAACAATGGTCTTTAAATGTGCTGCTTTTTTCATTATTTGTATTTTATTTTTATTATTATTTTACATTATTTTTGGGGGGTGAAATATGACCAGGGCATGTTCTTGATGGGCTTCATGAGATGCACCAATAATGAAGTAATTTCATTTTTATTTTTACACTGGATAATTTACCTGTGGAGCTGTTAATGACAAACGTATTAAAACAGCACGTCATTTTTAAAATGTAAGCTTTTATGAATCAAAGGGAAAAAATTAAATTTTACATGCATGTAAAATCAATTATAATAAAAAAAAAAAAAAATGAAACCAACAAATGCACCTTCCAGAAATACACAATTAGAACACAATCTGCAGGGAGAGAAGCAGTTCGAGCCACAGTATGAGTGAAAGCCTGTAAAGGAGCTATTTAATCAGGTTAGTTACTTTAACTACCAGATCTTATTGAATCACTATGTTTACCATTTGGTTTGGTTTAGGGCCCTGTTTTAATTCTCAAGCTTCCATGTTCCTAACAGTTACTGCTGAACCTTTAATACAATGCACATATTTTGTTCAATTGGGTCGCGGTGTCTTACACGGTACAGGCTTATTCAGGTGAATCTGGTGCTGAACCATATTCCTCGCAGATTTCATAGGCGTTTTCCTTCAGATTCCCAAATCCGATGTTGTCGTGGTGCTCTTCGCAACCTGGAAAACCAGCACACGCTTGTACATACAAACACACTGATTAAAAGATGTGCACACACTGGGAAAATGTAAGATCACAAAACGACAAAGAACTACTGGGCAACTTCAACTCATCCTTTTGTTTCTCTTTTATTCCTTTGTATATGTTTTTTTTCTTCTCTGTACTGTGAATGGTAGTCTCTCTCAGACTGTATAATTGTGTATATAATTTGGGTTATTTATCATTTTAATTTTCTGTCTTTTTTTAATTTCTTTTGGTTTGTGTTTGCTCTTATTTTGTATTGGAGCAGAGCACAACGTGTGCAAAGTGTATGTACTTGACTCGCAGTCTAAAAAAAAATGGTGCTACAATCTGTACAACTTTAGACTGTGCTTATTTATATTAAGATCATCAACAACAACAACAAAAAGAAGAAATTAATAAAGATTTTTGGTTGTGCTTTTACACAGGGAAGTTTTCAAGCCTCGCGGCATTTATTTTTCCAATATTTATAATGTATTATTTGGTGCCCAGCAACAAGCAGCCCCTGCCTGTTTGGATCAGTGGTGTTTTTATCTAGAAGAAACACCTTTTGGTCTTAATCGAATTTAAAGAAGCATGAAAGTACATTGCAGAACTTTATAGGATGATAACTTTTTTTTTGAAGTGTTTACTTCAATGGTGCTCCAAAATCGACCTGTGTGACAGGTAGTGAATGCTTTGAATTATACATATGGCACACTGTTGAAACTGGTGTCATATGGCATTTTGTTTCTTAACCTTTTTGATTTCTGATAAGGAGAAAATGTGCTACGCCTGTTTGCCTACCATCTTGGGCCCGTACGGCTCGGTGCTGTTTCTTAAAATCTCTGTTGTCTTCGCAAATGTAACGCAAACAAATCATCTTACACAAACTGGTGCTGCTGTTCACAATGATGTCGAAAATACTAGTGAGCCCGTACCAAAACTGTACAATCCACTATCAAAGCCTGTCCTAGAGTGTCGTGTAACCTAGAGTTTGAGCCTATTGCATATTGGGGTGATGTGAAGTTGTTCTGATGTGACCGATCGTAGATTTGGCTAGTGTTCTGTCAGTTGGCTAGTACTAGTGGTTGACCGATATGGGTTTTCCAATGACTGTTGGTCAATAATCAATAGCATATATAGAGAATAGGCTAATATAATAACGTATATGAAATATTTTGACAATAAAATGGGTAGTTCACCCAAAAAAAAAAGACCTGTTATTATTTACTCACCCTCATGTCGTTCCAAACCTGTACGACTTTATTCTGTGGAACACAAAAGAAAATATTTAGAAAAATGCGGGAAACTGTTTTTGTCCAAACAATGAAAGTCAATGGGGTCCAAAATTTGGACCCCATTGACTTTGATTGTATGGACAAAATTTGGGAGATTCCCACTTGCCCGATATATCGGTCTATCACTAACTGGCGTGCAACATCGCCAAGTTGAAGACAAAGCAGGAGTGGATTTTCTCATTGTTTTGCATCCTTATTTCCTTTTATTGTGTTTTTGTTGCTCAAGTATGTGCTCAAGGAAAAATCAACCTCACCTAAGCTTTAGTGAGATGCTGTTTAATAGACTATGGTGTATTATAATAATAATAATAATAATAAAAATAAAAAAAACCGTGTAAATGGTCTTTCTGTCCAATTAATATGAGGACATTTTGATGAAATGGTATGTTGACCAGTACACGAGTACATTGTTACCAGCACTGAGGGTTATTATTATTTTTTTTATTGGTAGTAATTAATAGTCATTGTTAATGTTACCTGTTTTAATGGCCAATTTGTGTTTTGATATCTTTGCGACTTTATCAATGATGATTTTATTATGATTTCATAATCCTGACCATTTGGATACTCTTTAGAACAGTAAGGTGCTCTCCTACACTTTAAACTATGAAAATGCAGCTATGAAATTCATGCACCTCTTGCATTGCGAAGGGGGTAAACATTTATTAAACATCAATGCAAGCATTGCTTGTTTTACTTCATTGTGACGTCTCATTTGAACTCTTTTGTCCATCGACGCTGTTTCCTGTTGGAGTGGAAGTTAAACCCTTGTTGAAATTGATGTTAAGCTATTTAAAAGGTAAACGGATCGTAATTCTTGATGTTGCGTTTTCTCAGGTACATGTATGAGGTTGTGCATTGCAAAAGACAACTCAAATCCTTTCGCATGTTATAAATAGATTAAAGAATATGTTCTGAATATGTAAATTCATATAGGCTTTGTCTAGTGTCTCAGGAACATCAGTTCTGGCTTTGTTTTGCATATAGTTTTGCATATAGTTTTGCATATTGAAAGAGAATGTTGAAAATATTGGCTGTCTTCCTAGATGACGGATAAAAATGAGAATGAGATTGCTTTACTGTGCATTATTTACCTGTGGTAGAAATTTACACTGAATGGCATATACTATTTTGAAGTCACCAACTTAAAGTTTGTCTGTTGTAATTTGTAATCCCTTTTAAGTTATTAGAATGAATTTGTAATACATGCATTCCTATTTTCAGTTAATCGCATTCTTGTGCTTTTTCATGGTTCAGCAGAAATATCACAGGATAATTGTGCAACAGCAGCAAACTTCTAAGAGTTGTCAGATTTGGGTCACTGTTTGGTGCTTTTAACTTAGACTTATAATGACAGCCTAATTCAGTTAAGTTTTTTTATCTCAGCTTTTTGTTAACACAGTTAATAAAGTGTTTCTAAAGAAAACTCGTTTTGATTCGTTTATTTTTTTTATTGCCTTACTAGCATAATGTACAAAGATTAATGTCCAGCTGGGAAAGGTAATAGCTCAACCATTTAGGAATAAAACAATCACAAAAATCAGAGGCAATGCAGGTGACCTTTTGTGAAGGTCTCCACTTTTATTAACATCCTGGGTTCTGTAGCCGCATTTTCCCTGGGGGCTGCTGATAAATGACAATAATACTTGCTGAATGTAATTTAAAAAGAACATGTTATTGATACATGATTAAGATCATTCCCTTGCAGCAAACAGGCCAAAAAAAGACTTATCTGTTTTGCATATAAGAGAACACTTGCAGTTTGATGTACCAATATATACTAACCTTAATTAACAACTTTTAAAATATTAAAGTGTTTACATTTTGTAAAAATGCATCACATTATACTACTCATCATAAAACTAAAGTAAGCTTGTAAGCATTCAAGAAATACCCCTTTTCCTTTCATCAGGAATTCCAGATATGGTAAACAATCTAGCATTTTGTTCTCCGTGATTTGTTCCTGTTCTCAGCCATTCTTTTGGCTAAAAGATACCTGCCTTATCTTTTGGGATTGGTCAAACATCTAGCACACCAGTGCTCGAAGGACCTTGAAAGTCTGGAAAACATGCGCAGCTGTGTGTCTTCCAGAGATCAGGGCTAGGAGTAATGAGAGGAGTCAGCAATTCACCCAAATCAACCTTTAGCATTAATTTAATTTAAGGGCCTTTTGCCTTTGTCATATTCAAACCTAGGTCCCCTTGAGCACTACAGCGCCTACGTGTTGCAGTCACACGTGCATATATATATATATATATATATATATATATATATATACAGTTATTCATGAATATCAAGCCCATCAAGGCACATAAACTCAGGTTGCTTCGGAGAGACCTTGCTAGCAATAAGAGAACAAAAGTTGCTATAAGAGAACTAAAAGGAGTCATGGCACTGTCATGTCTAGATGGAAGCCATGTTCTGCAAAAAGTCTTGCAACTTTGAAAAGCCATTTTGAATCTCTCTAGAGTTTTGCAGTACAAGGCTTGCTATATAAACACAACTGTGCCCCTTGTTCGTTGTTTATGGATCAGCTCCTTGCAGGGTTCGAACCTACACCTTTTTGGTTCCTGACCCAAATATGCCCTTTTACCATGCAATATGTTTAAAGGGTTAGTTCACCCAAAAATGAAAATTAGTCCATAAATTACTCGCCCTCAAGTCATCCTAGGTGTATATGACTTTATTTTTTCAGACGAATCCAGTCGGAGTTATATTAAAAATAGTCTTTGATCTTTCAAGCTGTTTAATGCCACTCTATGGGTGTTGCAGTGCATCAGTCCAAAAGAAGTGAAATAAAAAGTGCCCATCCATTAAAAAAGTGTCTCACACGGCTCCGGGGGGGTGAACAAAGTCCTCCTGTAGCGAATCGATGCATTTTTGTAAGAAAAATATCCATATTCAAAACGTAATAATCACTTTAATGTAGCTTGCGCCAACAGCCCTACACGGAGGATGACGTATGAGTTCAGCGTTGCGCATGCGCCGGTGAGCCTCATGAAAACCAACGTTTGTTAACAGGATCAAAGGAAGCAAATTTTCCTTACTTTAGCAAAGGAAAACCAGTCTCCTCTTGGCTTATATC